TTTTTTTTTCTTTCATGTTCTTCTTTGTGTGATTATAAGTAGACTTTAATCGAGCTCTAAATTTGAACTTTATCAGACAAGTAATAACCTTTCATAGTTCATTGTTCTCGAAAAATAAACTGTCATTGATTATTTCATTTTCATTTCGTCATATTATGATTAAAAGTAGTAAATTTTTTATTTTGCAAAAGAACATCGATTTCTGAATTAAAAAAATAAATTAATTTCACTTTATTAACTCTTGTTTTTCACAGAAAGAGCAATGCTAACTAAAATAAATAAAAATATGATTTAATATGATTTGAAAACAAAACATTATATTTACTGATTATGATAATAATAATTACAATAACTATGATACCTAGTATAATCGTGAGCTATAAAGCAAAAAAAGACATGTATTATAATAAATATTGAAAATGAATATCTACCCGTAAATTTCTTCTTTTCTGTGCTTCCATAATGCGTTTCGAATTAAAAGTAAATTGTCTCGATTTGTCATTTAACTCTTCTAAGCTCACAAAAAAGAGAATATAATCTTTGTAAAGTATTTTATTATTCACCTGTTCTATTTTCCAAAACATCTAACTTTACGCCACGTTCTAATCCTAATATTAAATTATTTCTTGTTATCTGCACTACCTAAAACAATTGTAAAAAATATTTAATACTGTATATATATTCGTCTCTAACTAACATCATCAACTTGATCTTGCAATCCGTGAATAGATTTAGACGATTTATAAGAAACACTTGTCGGTTGATAAGTTGGATTTGTTAAAGTCGATGTCCTAGATTTATTAAAATAGTACAGAAATATTGAAGTTAGATATTATCAATTACTTACATAGTTGATTGTTTTTTAAATAAAATAAAGATGAGTTTATACTTGGTTGTTGTTTAGTCATCTAGAGTTTTATCAGTTTATAATATGATTCATCGAGACAAAAGAAAGATTTCAATATTTACAAAAGTTTATCTTCTAATCAGCTCAACATAAGAATGAATCATCGATTTTATATAATAAATGTTTTTATTATTATTATTAGTTAAGGGTGCGAGTGTGAATTCAAATGAACGTGTAATTGAAAAGATAACTGAATCATTTCGATTATTTTCTAGTGCAAAACTAAATAAAAAATATTTCTAACGTATTACTTAAATTTGATCCACCTATTAATCCTTCGTTGAATAATCTCTCAGAGTAAATGATATGTGTAAACAGTTTATAAGAAATCAGCAGGAACACTACTTAATAATATCGATATCAATATTGTTAAAATACTCTCAGGTGTAATACCATTCGAAAGAATTTGTTGAATAGAGAAATCCTATAAATAAATGAGAATTTCACCAATGTATCAGGTGAATATTCATGATAATCAATTAAACCTTTATAAGCAATTAAAATAAAAGAGAAAAAGTGAAAGTAATGAAATCATATTGCATTTACTATTGATTGTACTTCGAATACTGATGTAAAACGTTGTGATAAAAATGAATATTTTGATTACATTTAATCTATGAATAAGCTTTTTAGATATTATTCAGTTTTCTTGTTCATTTTCAAGAATAAAGCGTGATTGAGTAAATATTTAATTTAGTTGAATTATTTTCACTAATTACTAATGAATAATTCATTTCATTTAACTAACTTTTCATAAGTTTATTTCCATTCGTTATTTTACTTAATAATGTATCATAAAATAGACTAACATCAGTAACATTAAAAGCATTTATTTTTAAATATTCTTTAGATTTTAACGAGAGTTTTCTGTACCAACCATTAATTTCTAACATTCGCATTAAACTTATACCTTTTGAATATGTTATTTCATCAAGATAATTCGTTATTTCGAACACACTCACTTCACTCTCAACAATAATTTAATGAGTGTATGGCTTCGCATTAATCTGCATAATTAGAATTGTATCTTGAGGGTGGGTGTCTTTTCTTTATATCCATACGCACACCCTCACCCACACCCTCAAGAAGCATTAAATTGCCAAAGTATTTAGAATTATCTTTTAAAAACTTATCCTAAATGAAAAAGATCAAATCATAAGATTCACTGAGACCATTTTATTTTCTTTAATTAGTTAGAACTATCTTATCCATGTATATATCAGATAATTCATCTTTAACAAGAGAAAAAAATGAGTGACTTTGACCAACGTTGACATTGTTATTATCAGCATCTAAGACTGTTAATTCATTAATACCCAAATAATTATTACCAATCAATGGTTGAGCATTATCAAAAACTTAATTTGCTGTTTCGTCTGCGCCTGTTCTCAATTCCAAAAGGCCTAAAATAATATAACAATAAATTAAATTCAGAAGAACCATACTTTTTCTGACATCATTTGTGAATAAGAACCGAACACAAAATGGATACATTTAAATATTTCCTTTGTTACTGGCATAATACATCAATGAATAATAAATTGCGCTTTTCAAATCGTCAATCAAATTGTATGTAAAACATGGTGCTAAAACATTCAGGGCAATAAATATTGATCTTGCCCGAGCGCATGATAAATAAGTTGCTATTGTAGAGAACGAGAATATTCTTTTACAGATATTAACTATATATTGTTGAGATAAATATGAATGACCATGCTTTACATCATGATGAACTAGAACAGCTTCGGCGGCGGAAATTTCATCTTGATCTTTTGATAGTTTTATTGTTTTTGTAATTAGTTGTCGATTAATATTAAATGATTTATAATTATTTTAATGCTTTTGAGATTTTATATGACGGTCAATATCAAGTTTTTCTCGATAATGTACTGAAAATTGCTGATTGCAAGTAATGGATGCGGCTTGAGTTGCATCAGGTTTGTATTCTTTCAAAAATAATTCATATTCGGTGATCTTTAATCATTCTCTGATAAATATTCCTTTTTTAAACTTCTTTTTTTTCGATTTATCACTGGATGATATTTGTGAATCGATTGTTACTGATGCTTCACTATCTCCATCTTGATCAATATGGCTATCATTAGCATCAGTCCTTTATTTCTGCTACGAACAAATGCTACACCTTATTATATTCTTAACCAACAAACAGAAGATTGTGTATAATGAATTGAAAGATTTGGATGATTAGTAGAAAATACTTCAGAAAAGAAGATATCGATAACGAACGGCCCCCAGAAGTAATGTATATATTGACCGTTTTTATTAATTATTGGAAGTCCGAGATTGCCATCTTATTAATCTTCGTGATACAACAAAGACTACAAGAAAACAGTAGAATACATCATTAAAGATTCATCAGATATGCATAAAATAATGATTTATTAGAACTGAAATTGAGTTAAAAATGAAAAGCAGATAATATTTTGAAAAGCAGAAAAAAAATTGAAAAGGCAGAAATGACAGAAAAAAAGCAGAGTAGATGGGGACCTTGTTCGCAAAGTTTTGTTGAAATTCATAATATAGAGTGAAGATAAATGTTAGTCTATATGATATAATATTTTATAAGAGTAATACACTTAGTAGAGTAATAACGTGTTAATGAATAAATAGAGGTTAGTCATCGATAAGCCTTAACAGTGTAAGAGAACACTGGTAGTGTTCGAACCATAGTTGGCAACAATAATATCGGGTTTATTATCGCCATTCACATCGGTGACTGCTACTGAAATTGGATAAGTACCAACTGCATAAGTAGTTTGAGCATTAAATGTGCCATTGCCTGTGTTGAGAAGAACACCGACGGCGTTTCTGTCAAATTTTGCAGCAACAATATCGGGTTTATTGTCGCTATTCATATCGACGACTGCTACTGAATATGGGCTGCTAATAACTGGGTAAGTAGTTTGAGTATTAAAGGTGCCGGTGCCTGTGTTGAGAAGAACACTGACGGTGTCCGAGTCACTGTTTGGAACAACAATATCTGGTTTATAGTCGCTATTCACATCGACGACTGCTACTCCTGTAGGGCCATCGCCAACTGCGTAAGTAATTTGAGTATTAAAGGTGCCGGTGCCTGTGTTGAGAAGAACGCCAACGGTGTCATCGTCATAGTTCACAACAACAATATCTGGTTTATTGTCGCTATTCACATCGACAACTGCTAAGATTATCGGATGATTACCAATTGCGTAAGTAGTTTGAGTATTAAAGGTGCCGGTGCCTGTGTTGAAAAGAACACTGACGATGTTCGGAGTAGCACTTGTAACAACAATATCTGGTTTATTGTCGCTATTCACATCGACGACTGCTACTGCTTGAGGTGTACCGCTAACTGTGTAAGTAATTTGAGTATTAAAGGTGCCGGTGCCGGTGCCTGTGTTGAGAAGAACGCCAACGGTGTTCGAACCCACGTTTACAACAACAATATCCGATTTATTGTCGCCATTCACATCGACGACTGCTACTGAAAGTGGTTGAGTACCAACTGTGTAAGCAGTTTGAGTCTTAAAGGTACCATTGCCTGTGTTGAGAAGAACGCCAACGGTGTTCGCAGCATAATTTGCAACAACAATATCGGGTTTATTGTCGCTATTCACATCGACGACTACTACTGATCTTGGGCTAGCACCAACTGAGTAAGTAGTTTGATTAAGAAACATATTGCAGGCTATTAAATACAAAAACTTTGCTCTCACATATGTATTAACATATACACAGTATTCAATCGTCGTATTTTATTCAGTCTTCGAGAGTTTAACTTAATTGAACACAATTTCTTCGGAAACATCATCTCCCTAACTTTTGGGCAATTTCAGATATTCTAGAACATAACTAAAGTCAGTTTTCAGGCATTAAGACCATCTCTATGTGAAACCTTCTCGTAAATTTGAAAAATCAATAAAGTCATCTCACTCTACTTAAAACTTGCGCTCCCTTTAATAGAGTGTCGCGATTTCCCCGACTAAGGAACTCCACAATACCTACCAAGCAGAATTTAAAATGCCGTACATTTGTCTAAAATTTCATTTCAACATATATCATTCTTTTTTTTTAAGTTGCATCGTAACATGGAATTCTATAAACAACAGGATAATTCTGTTTCTCATAAACCAACTATATTTCTACAAAATTCTGAATTATGCTTTTCAAGCATTCTATAATTGTTAGTGCACTCTCACCCTATTCTCCTTCTCGTCGAAAATAGTTCAACAAAAATAAGTTGTCTGTTTGCGCTGTTGTGAGTCTGTTTTTCACGGATTGATACAGATATGCACGGAATTGCATCGGAGTCTACTAGACACTACGAATAAGCCAAACTAAGTATTACAAGTTTTATTTATTATAAATTGTGTTCTCTAATACTTCCTCTACAAATG